AATAAAAGTAAGATCGAGAGGAAGGAAAGTTTGATAAAGACACTTTCAAGGAAACATTAAAAACAAATCTTTGACGGAAGTCTTGAAAGAATGAATAAAAGTAAGATCGAGAGGAAGGAAAGTTTGATAAAGACACTTTCAAGGAAACATTAAAAACAAATCTTTGGAGGAAGTTTTGAATGAATGAATGAAAGTAAGATCGAAAGGAAGGAGGGTTTGATAAAGACACTTTCCAGGAGACATTAAAAACAAATCTTTGAAGGAAGTTTTGAATGAATGAATGAAAGTAAGATCGAAAGGAAGGAGGGTTTGATAAAGACACTTTCAAGGAAACATTAAAAACAAATCTTTGAAGGAAGTCTTGAATGAATGAATGAAAGTAAGATGGAAAGGAAGGAGGGTTTGATAAAGACACTTTCAAGGAAACATTAAAAACAAATTTTTGAAGGAAGTCTTGAAAGAATGAATAAAAGTTAGATCGAAAGGAAGGAGGGTTTGATAAAGACACGTTCCAGGAAACATTAAAAACAAATCTTTGAAGGAAGTTTTGAATGAATGAATGAAAGTAAGATGGAAAGGAAGAAGGGTTTGATAGAGACACTTTCAAGGAAACATTAAAAACAAATCTTTAAAGGAAGTCTTGAAAGAATGAATAAAAATAAGATCGAAAGAAAGAAGGGTTTGATAAAGACACTTTCAAGAAAAAATTAAAAACAAATCTTTGAAGGAAGTCTTGAAAGAATGAATAAAAGTAAGATCGAGAGGAAGGAAAGTTTGATAAAGGCACTTTCAAGGAAACATTAAAAACAAATCTTTGAAGGAAGTCTTGAAAGAATGAATAAAAGTAAGATCGAAAGGAAGGAGGGTTTGATAAAGACACTTTCCAGGAAACATTAAAAACAAATCTTTGAAGGAAGTTTTGAATGAATGAATGAAAGTAAGATGGAAAGGAAGGAGGGTTTATAAAGACACTTTCAAGGAAACATTAAAAACAAATATTTGAAGGAAGTCTTGAAAGAATGAATAAAAGTAAGATCGAAAGGAAAGAGGGTTTGATAAAGACACTTTCAAGGAAACATTGAAAACAAATATTTAAAGGAAGTCTTGAAAGAATGAATAAAAATAAGATCGAAAGAAAGAAGGGTTTGATAAAGACACTTTCAAGGAAAAATTAAAAACAAATCTTTGAAGGAAGTCTTGAAAGAATGAATAAAAATAAGATCGAAAGGAAGGAGGGTTTGATAAAGACACTTTCAAGGAAACATTAAAAACAAATCTTTGAAGGAAGTCTTGAAAGAATGAATAAAAGTAAGATCGAAAGGAAGGAGGGTTTGATAAAGACACTTTCCAGGAAACATTAAAAACAAATCTTTGAAGGAAGTTTTGAATGAATGAATGAAAGTAAGATGGAAAGGAAGGAGGGTTTGATAAAGACACTTTCAAGGAAACATTAAAAACAAATCTTTGAAGGAAGTCTTGAAAGAATGAATAAAAGTAAGATCGAGAGGAAGGAAAGTTTGATAAAGACACTTTCAACGAAACATTAAAAACAAATCTTTGAAGGAAGTCTTGAAAGAATGAATAAAAGTAAGATCGAAAGGAAGGAGGGTTTGATAAAGACACTTTCCAGGAAACATTAAAAACAAATCTTTGAAGGAAGTCTTGAATGAATGAATGAAAGTAAGATGGAAAGGAAGGAGGGTTTGATAAAGACACTTTCAAGGAAACATTAAAAACAAATCTTTGAAGGAAGTCTTGAAAGAATGAATAAAAGTAAGATCGAGAGGAAGGAAAGTTTGATAAACACACTTTCAAGGAAACATTAAAAACAAATTTTTGAAGGAAGTCTTGAAAGAATGAATAAAAGTAAGATCGAAAGGAAGGAGGGTTTATAAAGACACTTTCAAGGAAACATTAAAAACAAATCTTTGAAGGAAGTCTTGAAAGAATGAATAAAAGTAAGATCGAAAGGAAAGAGGGTTTGATAAAGACACTTTCAAGGAAACATTGAAAACAAATATTTGAAGGAAGTCTTGAAAGAATGAATAAAAATAAGATCGAAAGAAAGAAGGGTTTGATAAAGACACTTTCAAGGAAAAATTAAAAACAAATCTTTGAAGGAAGTCTTGAAAGAATGAATAAAAATAAGATCGAAAGGAAGGAGGGTTTGATAAAGACACTTTCAAGGAAACATTAAAAACAAATCTTTGAAGGAAGTCTAATAAGAATGAACTAAGGTAATAATAAAACAAAGTAGACTTTAAAAAGGGAAAGTTGAAGGAAGTTTCATAAGCGGGAATCAAAGTTAGATTGAATTAAAAGGAGCCTGAAAGGAAATCTTCGAAGAATGACAAAACTGAATGAATAAAGGTAAGAAAAAAGAAAAGGAACTTTAAAAAGGAAACACTGAAGCAAAATTCAAAAAATAAAACAGCAAAGGATGGCCTGTAAAAAAGAATTAAATTTAGAATAAAAGGAAGGAAAATATTGAAAAGGAAACAGTGTAAAAGGGATGAAAGATAAACATTTCAAAGATTTTAGATCAGTTAATCAGTTATCCTTGCAATCCACTGTATTCTAGCTGAAAATACCACAGAAAGTACACAAATTTGTACTGGTCAAAAATGTGTAGACTGGGGCTGGTGCTCTTCTTGGTCAAAAAGGGAGAGGACACTAAGGTCAAAGGGGTAATGAAACATAATACAGTATCAAAGTCAAAAGTATTCAACATTAGACTAAAATAAAATGGAAAGAAGCTGGAAATTGATCTAAAATATTTTCAATCACACAAGTAATCAATGCCAGGGAACATATTTTGAGGGGGAGGGGGGGGGCTTCATTTTTGCAGAATCAGGGTTCAATAAATTCTTTTTGGGAAAGTTAGCAGAAACAGCAAAAATATCTGAAAACAGTATAAAACAGTATAATATTTCCTGCACTAAGAGAATTGTGCACTTTTTCAACATGATAAACAGTATTTTTCTTAAAACACATTTTTAAAGTAAATAAATAGGACACTTATGCTGCCTTAGTTATACTCCAGATTGGAATTTTTGCCTTGCGTGGGGGATAAATCCCCACACACATCAACTATCAGCAGGGATGCAGCCGAGAAATTTCTATTAAAATGATTCATCCAGCTGTTTTTCTCTGAAATGTATAGCCAAACTGTATTTTATGGCAATTAGTCCCAGCCCCACAAAATTTTTATCTGTGCTATTTGCAATGCGCAATTTTCATGTACACGAAGCAGGTCCCTGACACATCTTTCAAAGATTCCAATCTGGGTTATACTTTTGCCTTGTACCTGCTTTCACAAAAAAGTTTAAATTTTTTTTGGAGTGTTTGTGTGCACATGGCAAGAAGCAAGCAGGATAGCTTTATGCTTAAAAGTGGACTTACAGGTGCAAATAACAGGGCCGTCAGAGCTGGAAGGGGGCCACAGGGGCACAGGCCCCCCTGATTAGAAAAAGTGTAAAAAGTGCTCTCTTTGAAAAATATGTTGTGCATACTATTTTTTCACAGCAAGGTATTTTGCCTTCTATGATTCTCATTCTCTAACAATCTACTGCAAACAAATTCCTCAGTACATATGGGCCAACCAGCATACTACTACACAGTGTCTTGGTTTTTTTATTTTTTATCTTGCTAACTTTGGAAGAGATAGAGACTGAAACTTTACTTTGAAAAAGATAGAGACTAAAAATTCGCTTTGAAAGAGATAGAAACTGAAAATTCGCTATAAAATGATAGATTGAAAATTCAAGAATATCTTTCAGTTCTGTACATTATATTGTCAGTTTAACCTGTAAGTTTTTAGTTCTTTTGCACACATGATTGCATTAATGTGGATTAATTTTTTCTTTGGTATGTTGTAATTCATCTGAATATTTGCGAATATAATGCACCTTTCACAAATATCGGCGAAGGACGTGTGCCTGCTGCTTAACCGGGGCCACCACCTCTCATTTCTTAAGGAAAATATGAATCAAACATTGAGGAAAGATTTACTCAAACAAAAACTTCATCTCCCACAAGGAGTTATAAATTATTCTTCATTATCATTTTGCACCCCCCCCCCCTGTTCCAACCTCCGCCCGGCAACCCTGACTGAGTTCTAGAGAATAGATGCTTATAAAAAGAGAGTTTATGGTACATGTGCATCTGTCTCACTTTATGTTATTGAACTGAATCTGAACTTCAAATAGAATTTTTCTCACCTTAGCTTCTATTTTAATAGGACATATATTAAGGAGTCAATATGAAATTTTAGACCCTCGCTCCTTAACTGGGGATCTTTTAAAGACTGAGACAGCCTTCTTTCTCAAGTCTTAGTCTTGGCAACCTTTTCCAAAAAGTAGCATGGATCCTTAGAGAGTGAAATGCAAATAAACATATTTTCCCCAAATATTTGAGTTTATTCGACAAGGGGTCATTCGACAAGGGGTCATTCTAATGATTACAGGGGAGGAATATTCATATGGAGAATATGATAAAAAACGACGAGATTATTATCTAACCCAAAATATAAACTGAATATAAAAACTCGATCATAACTTGACTTGATAAAGAGCTCTTTAATAACATTACAAGAAACTATATAATATAGTTGATCTAATAATGCAAAAATTTGAAATAGATTTTCATTCATTGGCCACGTTATAGATAAACGATTGCTTCTGATTTGGATGCTTTTACTCATTAATAGAGCATTTTAAAACCTAAAATGTACCACAGGAAGGAATCGTAATATTGAATGACAATTACCATAACACTTATTTGTGAAAATAGCCGTTTCGATTACCTTTTTCCTTTAGTTGATTAGCGATCTTTCCACGTGGGTAGCAGCCATGTTTATTATCAGTTTGAAAATTAGTCCAAACGAGGCTCTTACAGAACCTCGAGTTCAATTACCTCAAATGGGAAAATTGAATCCCTTTATCCTCTGGCGCAAATCTTCAAATTAGTCCCCCTCCACCCTTTTGTATTTGCTGGATTTTTGCTCTTTATACCCAATCGAGCACAACCATTAAAGCTATATTTTTCGTCCCTATTGGCATTCTAAATTGTAATATTCGGATTTTTAAAGTTTTTAAGATTTTGGACGTGGAACTTTTTAACATAAATACTAAGCTAACGATGTTTAAAATTTAAAGTATAAAATATAGAGTAAACATTGGGTTGCAAGGCAATGAGCACCTGAACCGAAAAAGACATCGGAAGATGCGAAGGTAGAAGAACATTGAAAATATCAGAACAGATTGTGGACGTGGTGTTCTTTGGCTCTACAAGAAAAATCAGCCACAAGAAAATGCAAAAACAGGACAAAGCGAGGTTGTGCGAAGGAAATTCTTATACTTTGTACTACACCAACCAATAAATGTAAAATTGATTTTGAATAACAGAAGTTAGTGTTTGTTTGCAATAGGCTCTTCAAGTGCTTCGAGAATTTCCTTTCTATAATCATCAAAATCCCCGTCGATCTCTTCCACTGACTGGTCCTCAACAATCGAGAGACGACAGTCTGTTTCTAATATAAGTCGAGCATCATGGCTGACAATAATCACCCCTAAGGGAAAAACAATTCATATATGACTGAGAAAATATTATAATAATTTACAATGAGAAATCACAATTATATATTTATCAGTAAATTGTTGACAGAATTAATTGATAAATTATAATCAAAATATCTTTCATTTTATAAATATCATAACGATTTTCATTGAGAAATCATCATCATAACCATCGCTGCAATTAATCATAAATTTGATTTTTATTCCAAAATTGTCTTGATTGAAATCGTGTATGTTACTGGTTAACCCAATATCGCTCTAGAAAAACGGACGCTCTCTTGCTGTTCTTCAAATTACGTAACAATTTTAGATCTTTGAAATTAATCAACAAAATCTCTAGCTTCTTGATTGGAGAAATTTTAGTTTAGTTTATGTGCTAAATATGTTGAATAAATCATGGATAATAAATAATAAATGAGAATGAGAATATTATGAAATAAACGAGAATAATATCTTTTTCAGGTTTAAAAAATTTGTTTTGTACATGTACTCGAAAATAAGATTTCTATCGTTACAAAAGGAATGAAAATCACAAAAAACTAAGGCATTTATCCAATGGGTTGAGCCAGAACAATGTAATGTGTTTCTAAAGGCGGCTTTCTGTTGCACTAAAGCTGACAAATAGTGTAAAACTAAGACAATTTCAATAACTATATCTCCATCATTATTGTTCAAAGGTAATGTGTCCAGCTATAGCAAGCGACTGTGCAGGAGTTTTTAGAAACATGTGATTTTTCATGTCATCGCCCCAGTCATTACGGTCGTTTTGTTTATCTATACTGCTGCGAGGTTAGCTTTTCATGTGAGCAGTTTTGCATCGCAAGAATACTAACCAATCGCAAACTGTTATTTTGATGGGTGGCTTGACAAGTTGGGTAAACGCAGTCCTTTTATATGGACACATTACCTTTAAAGTCCTACTACAGGTCCAAGTGAGACATTACATTGGTTTCTTACAGTAAACATAAGACAAAAAAGCGAATGAAAAATACGCACCTCCAGTAAATTTATTAATAGCGTCGGCAAGTGCATCGATTGATTCAATATCCAAATTATTTGTAGGTTCGTCCTAGTTAAATATAATTAAACAAATTAATACTTCTTTCCGCATTGGCAAGGACGCCTGATACCTCTTAGGCATGCCTGTAGCAGGAGGGAGCAGATATGAAGGACCCTCCTTTTAATTTAAGTTCTATGCGTGCTTTATTACGAAATATCGTACTTTCCGCAATATTAGGATCATCGCAACAAGCCTTCCTCCTAACATATCCCCTCCATTGTATAAAGGGAGAGGGGGCGGGGATGTTAACGAAATTCGTGAAAATAACTAAGTTCCCAACAATATGGTACAGGGTTGTGGATCTCAAGCTAGCTAGCTTGTTGAAGCGATAATTGAAATATCTCAAATTAACTAGCTTCCTGGGAACATCAAAATTTAAGTAAATAAAACGAAAACAAAACATTTCACAAAGTGGAGGATTTTAGGGCCTGGTTGTTAACTAATACTGCGACCAACAAATTCGATTAGGACATGCGGCTTTCCATGATGTTATAAATAAATCTAACAGTTCTAATTAATTGCTTGGCTTGAATTTCTTTAAAGGTTTGTAAATATCAAAATTAAATATTCTCGAACCCTCGAATCTTGTAGTGAATAAAAATGTAAAAAAATATACTGTACCAAGATAATTATATCAGGCTGCCTCGATGCCATATCAGCTAAAGCTACCCTCGACTTTTGCCCACCTGAAACGAAATTGAGGCCAATAAGTATTACATTTCAAATGTATTTGATACCATCATTTATAGTAGCGACTGTCTGGCGATTAAACATCAGTATAGTCGATCTACAGGAGTAAAATGAAGAATTATGTTTGTTCTAGTTACAAAAAGCCCAGGGTATTTGCTTGGACCTAGTCCTCTTGCCGTCAGCCACAGCGCTGAGCAGCCCACCTTTTGTTTGGTCATACAATGCACTTACAAAAAGCAGTTAAAAAGGTTGTCTGTTTATCACTCGATTGGCTATGGCCACTTAGATTGTCGATGAAGTTCTTGAGTTAGAGTTGAAAAGGAAATCGTCAAACTCGAGCTCAAAACCGAATAACAATCTTTATCAGGAGGTACTACAAAATTTAATAGCGAAAATATTAGAGACATTGTCCATTAGTTGGCAAAAACCTGGGTGGCAACGACTGGTATAGACAATCTTTGATAAAATGTCTTTCAAATTAAACTCTTAAATTAAAATCAGTCATTGCTTCTTCAGTTTATCTCTTTTTTACTTGAAAGATACAAGTCTACTTTACAATTGTTTGAAATAAAGACTTCCTTTAAAGACCAATTCTATTGCTCCAGGAAACATTAGTAAAATTGACCTTAAGCACCTTAAATACAGCAAACTGTTTGGGTACAGAAGGCACCAGGACTTCACATTTGGAAAAACACAAATGGCGCTCGATACTTTATGCTTACGGTGACGCATTCACATATAAATGGACCAACGGAAGTAGACCCAGCTTCAATACCCTTAATTACAAAGACTGAAAATTAGCAGCAAATATTTTGCATACCTGAGAGGTCTCTGATCTTTATAGTATGTGCATGACCGGGTAAACCAAATCTTCCAAGAAGTTTTCGACTATCTTGGTAATCAAGGTTGAATTCACGCTAGAAATTAACCAAAAACACCTTCACAGAAACAAAAACGGTCCGGAAAACAAAGGCTTGAAGTTGCATATATATACCCGCTTTAATAGCTTAATGCCAAGAGACAGGGACAGCTCTCCTTGCATTAAGGAGCAATCATCGTTTAAATGCAGTTTGACTATCATATCCTGAATAAAACCATACTGTCACACTAGATAAATGTTTTGTATGAGTGGCCAGCTGTGATTCTGTTGCGTACAGGTCTAAAAATACGCTAGACATCAAACATATGTTGCATAAAAGGGAGACGTACTCGGAAAAAGCTCTGATTATGTGCTTTGGTTCTTTTATGCCTCAGTTTTATCGTTAATCTATCTCGAAAAGACTAAAGAACATCCTCAAGTGCATTTTTAAGACTGCTCCAGTTTACAGAAACAACAACACAGTTAAACGGTGCTCTGCACCACCTTGGCTCCAATACAATAGTTTTTCCAACATTGAGAAGAAAAAAAATTCTTGAGAACAAAGTAGCCTACCTGCATATATTCTACAGACGACTCGTTCAAGTTTAGCTGAAAGAAAGAATTCCGTACATTTAGATATCAAACGGAACAAGCTGGATCATTCAATGAAAAAGCTTCACTTAATGGGAAAACATAGATCAAAATGACGAGAATTAATCACATATATTGAAGTGTAGATCCTAAGAAGAAAAACCAAAATTATTTGCATTTAATTAAGAGATAAATCAAACTGACTTTAAAACTCGGGATTGGCTGATGCTTTGCAGGGTTGGAAACGTAATTTCTGATCTTACATTTTTTTAAAAAGTGGCAGTGTTAGAAAGACAGAATTAAAATGGTTTTTTGGGCTATAGAGTCAGAAAAATTGAAGCAAATAGATTTGAAATATTTGAAAAAATGTAAGCTAAGATTAGATATTGAAAAACAAGAAATAAAAACATGAGATACCTGGTCTGCCGAATGTTGATTGTAAAAGCCAATACGCTACAAAAATAATTTAGAAACGTTACTTATTAGATATTACACTAAATTTTTAGTTGAAAAACATTAAAAAACCACAAAAACAATAGTTGGGATAAAGTTGGTAACTACTTAAAAAAGAATCATTACCGTAAATCTTCGAATTGGTCCCTCCTCAAAAAAGCCCCCCCCCCCTCGAATAAGCCCCAACCTTAGAACTACAAATTTTCAATAAGCCCCCCAGAAAAACCCCCCATCCAAAAAAATAAAAAAATAAGCACCTTAGGGGGCTAATTCGAGGATTTACGGTATGGAAATTGCCTTGCATTTATTGAAAGTTTTGATCAAAGTTAATAAAAATTAGAGTGAATAAGTATTCTGTTGTTGACATCAGTTGGAATCCTGGTACACAGTATAAAAACCTACCACTCTTGGATTCTTTATCAGCTCTCCCTCCAGCTAAAAACAACAAGTTAACTTGATTAGCTTTCGATGATAAAATTTATATTTCTTAAGTAATGGACCATAACAGATTTGAACTTTAAACAATTACAAATAATCATGTCCTTCCGAAAGATTTAAAGGTATAATATGAAGAAAGATTATGCTTTGGAAGAAGGATGAGGTCATCAGAAAATGATGCCTTCGGTAAATCCTTTATCAAACTCCCTTGGTTTTTTTAAAGCCCCCTCATTCTAACACAACTAATGCCAAATGCCAGAAGACTTTACCTAAAGACTTTACATATGCTTGTTTAAAAACGTTGAACTGACAAATATATGTAACGGGAAACAACTTACAAAAAAAGTTATATGTAACGTATTTTGAGATAAACCTAAATTCTTGCAACAACAATATTCTTGGATTTGATGAGAAATCTAAGAGAGTTTAAAAATGTTGTAGGCAGTCTAGACTAATATAGAAAATGAGTCGAAATTCCTGGTTTTCAAGAACTTAAAAAGGTTTCCTTTGTAGTTGAAACATTAAGATTATCATTTCCATCTAACAAATGTTGTAAGTGAAATAAAAAACCTCAAAATTTATCGATATAAAAATGCTTTATACTGTAAAGAAAATTGCACAAAAGCCACACACTTGAATAAAAGCAGGCATACTCAAATAATACTTATATATGTTATATATATATCTCTCAATTGCCTATGAATCTGTTTAATATTAATTCTAGATTTGTTTCAGATTTATTCAAAGGTTCTCAGCCTCTGGGCTTCTGTCCCTGAAAGTTTATGTAACTTTTTACTTTTTACTTAAAATGTAAAAATATAACTATAGCTTTAGTTTTTGAGACAAAATGAAAGGGGTGATGCATTGAAGGTACATGGACCACAAATTAGAATAGGGGCAAACATTTGATAATAAATTTACGGAATAAAAGATACTTACTGGTTGTAATCTCCCACAAAGAAGTTTAAGAAACGTACTTTTTCCAACACCATTTGGCCCGACTAAAGCAACTGCAAGAAGACAAAAGCATGATAAATTCAAAACAGGCATCATGCAAAGATCAATTGAAATCAAACACTATGTAATTTTGCAGTTCAAAATAAGACAAAAAACGGTATAATATAAACGAAAAAGCATTTTACAAGGAACAGTTGTAAAGGATGGCAATCCCAGACGTTTAGAGAGATGATAGACGAAAAAATTCGCGTTTAATAAAGCAAAGATATTTAACTATTTACCCAGGAACTTGCGAAATGAAAATGTCGCTTTTGAAATTCAAAGCATGCAGCAAAGTCAAAAACTTAAGCAATTTCTAGGTTTTAGCTTAATCGTGTGATATTTAACTTTTCTTCTTGTAAATGTCTAACTTTGATTTTTGCAAATATCAACTTTCACTTTGTAAATAATTTATGCATTTTATGTATAAACTTGAAACATAACTAATAAAAATGTACCAACTGGCTTATAATTTCAATTGCCTCAGAAAATGTTAGAAAGTCAGAACAAATTCTTTTATTGCAATTTTAGTCAAGGAAACATGGCGTAGAACATTTCAGAGCAAGTTAAATAACAAAAGCCTCTGAGTCTTCCTAAATTGTTTTTCTTAGATTTAAACAAGAAAAAAGATTTCTTAGCGTTATATATTATCAAAAAATAGAAACGCCTTCACGTAATTTACTATCTTACTAATGCAGCATTAATCATTCTTGTAATTTCGTTAGAAAAATTGCTTATTTGCTTATTTAATTTGAAAATATCTTAAAACAGATTTTAGAAATTCTTCTTTACTCGTAAAAATGGACAAGGTAAATTGTTTTTGCTCTTTTGGCTTGTTTTCGATTCACCATTAATCATGTTTTATGATCATTGCTGGTAGTGACATCAATTATAAATTTGGCAAGATAATCTATAAACAATTCTTGGTGGTGCAGAATCTGAAAATGGCTTTGAAAAAAGCTAAAATTTTATGACATATAAAAGCATTTCGCGTAGAGTTGCAAAAAGTATCGGAACTAGGTTCCCAGAAAATTTTTTGGCTTGACAGAAAATTTTCAGCAAAACTTGATAAAAAACAGCTGTTTTTGCATTAGCAAAAATGTTTTTCTTGACTTTTTCAGAACAGATATCTGTATATTACAGATTTAATCAAATAAAGAAGTTTGACATTTTTGAAACCTTTATATAAACTGTTACTCACTATCACAAAAAAGTTGTATAACTTGAAAGCAATCTTTAGCTTTCTTGTCTAGGACCTTATTAACAGATAAAGGGACAAACATTAGAAGCCTCTGTTTTAAAAGTTTGGGCATACTATTGGTACACAATACTTTCACCTCAAAGAAAAAATTTTGTTTTGTGTGCCAGGTTCCCAGAAAGGAAAATATTTTTTGTAGATCTGCTCTTTAGAGGATAGACGTCACAACATAGATCGGAAAAACTAACCAAGGAGATATACATATATATCCAGTTGTGGATCAAAACAGGCAACACTGGCACAACTTTCATCCAAACAATGAGGATTGAAGAAAAAATGCTTGAAAATACTCGAAAATGGGATTTAGTATCAAATTTCAGAAAAAAGTAGATTGACTGCACTAAAATGTTATTATAGACAAAATTCATGCTATGGATAAAAGATGCTATAGAAAGAAGGCCTAAGTGGAAGAACTCTAAAATCTTTGAAATTCAAACTTCAGAAATTGATATCCTGAAAAGCAAATGTGCATAAAAGCAAAAAGTGTAGAGAAAAAAAGAATAAAATGCAAAAATTATGGCAAGGTTATATATAAAGTGATTACCTCTTGAAGACATATCGATACCAAAATTAACCATTTTGAAGAGTAAAGGCTGGTCGGGGTATCCAAATTTGACATCTGGAAAATAATTTTCAAAATGGGTGAATTGTGTTTGTGCTATTGGCAAAAAATGTTAAACACGAATCACTTGATTTAAAGGAACTCAAGGCTTACTTGGGTAAACATGAATAAACATTACAAATGAGCAGTTAAGAATTTAAGATAAAAAATGCATTGTACGTTGAGTACTTTTTTTACAATGCTTCTTTGCAATGTACAAAAATGTTTATTCTCGTGTACAAACGTTCAGTACAACGACTGAAATATTAAATTCAATTGGAAAGAAGCTCACATACTGCTGATTTATCAAAATTCTTTTTCAGAATATTACAGACTGCATAAAAGACTTCTTCTTACCTTTCAAGCCCAAAATTGGTGGATTCAGTGGAGGAGGGCATGGTATTGTGAATTTGACTTCATATTCCCGTGGCTTTCTCAAAAGTTCCTGTTTCTTTGCAGAATCCTGTACAATTCATTGAGACGTGTGTTAACAAAACTTTGTTGGATATTTTCACAAAATGATGAAGGAGTTAAACATATACACTCCCCTCACGAAAGTACCCGGAAAGTTCGAAGATCGATTGCGCTTTCAGACGAAAACAAAAATTAGGCTGTCGATAACCACTTTTTAACTTAGTGATAATAATTTTTTGAAAAACCGTTCCAAAATAAACAGAGACATTAAAATGTTGCAAAACTTCTGCTTTTTTCAGCTGTCCGGATACTTTCGTTAGGGGAGTGTAGACTTACTTCATGAGCCTCTTTTTCGCTACTGCCTCACTTGACTGACGCTACAACAGAGGCTCATGGAGTAAGTCTAAGGGGAGTGTATATATATAAATTCGAATCAAGAAATTGTTCTGACCCGTTGGCTGCGCATATTGTCAATTACCGCTGACAAAAGGAACAGCAACATCAAAATAGAATAGGATCAACTTTGGTAGGTGAGTGAGTCCATGGAGACAGCTGCCGTACACACTTGAATTTGGGTTGTTTATTTGCCTGATAAACTTTTATCAGTCCTCTTCAAACTGCCTTGCAAGGGAAGTAGAACCCAAGCAGAACTTTGCTCGAAATTGAACTCTAAAATCGATTGAGCGAAGCAGAACTCTGCTCGAAGCTGAACTTTCAAAGCGGGTCGAAAATCTCAGAACAATAGAATCAAAGAAAAGAAACATGGTCGAGAGGAATAAAATTAAGCATAAAATCCCAAAATATTCCGTGTATTCAGAACAACCCAAAATAGCACAATTTCTAATACATAAATAAAGAACTTATCAATTTCATCTCAAACATAACATAAAAAATAGTGGAATCGAGCTCACCACAACAGCCTCATCCTTTTTGCTTTTGTCCTTTCTGACAGCAGTTTTCTTGGCTTGTGCTTCCTATTTTCACAAAAATCAGAAACTATGGCGTGAAAAACACTGGTCTGAGTAAATAATTTAATCACCATAATCACCATCTTATTTTATATTCATTCTTACAGTGATGCATTTGTGAAACCATTGGAACTGAGTAGCTTCCAATAAGGAAATACGATTGTTCACTCAATGTGAGATTTGATGATGGTTTACATCGAGAGGCTTAGCTAAGACATCTTAACAAAAAGCTTGGGATTTTCGGCTTAACAGAAATCTAGAAGTTATGATTACAAAATTATCTCAAGTTGAAACTGATGGACAAATTTACACTGGCACTTAGTTAACGGGTGTATGGCAAGGGTGTAATCTCAATCATTTTTTGTTAATCGTCCCTCAAGGCTCATGTATCGTTATTTTATATTCTCATAAAACTCTATAAAACAATTCAACAAGACGATACCACATGATGCGAAGAAATATGTATTTCAAATCTGTGATAATTTTTAAACAACATATAAAATTACATTCTGTTTAGAAGTCACTAACAGCTAGATAACAAATTCAACAACGCAAAACAACTGACATCCCTCGATTAAAGATGGCTTTTTTTACAACATACAGGATTTATTGCCTTACATCGTAGATTCAAACAACCGTAATTGCCGATATCTTCTTTCAGATAATAATCAGTAAAAACCAAAATGTTAACGATCTTTTAACGCTGTTTTGAAAACCTTTATCATTCCCACTTTTAATGCCCCTCTACGTAGGGTATCTTCTTCAAAAGTTCAACAACCTGTTAGAAGCCCCAGCGTTAAATGGAGAATTAAACGTTTTAACAGCAATGTATAAATGAATTATTGAGCAACATCGAACTAGGTGACCTCCTTCTTCTAATTGCCGTTTGGTATGCTTTAGAAATAATCAAACTTTGACAGATTAAGCGTAAATTAACTTACAGCTTGCTTGGATGACTTTCCCGATTGCTTCAATGCCTTGATATGCTTTTCCTGACGAATAATTGACAAGTTAGAGCTATCAGAAAGGTGAAGGTTTCTGTGAAAAGGGGCACATGTTCTGGGCCAAAATACATGATGAGGAAAAGTGGCCTGTTTTTTCCTTAGGTGCAATCGGGTTACTCGGTCAATCTGCACCTCCTTCTACCGTTGCTACCGGGTACTAATTTTGTTAGACTTTGTCAAAGAAAACTTGCAAACTTGGTTAGACATAACTAATAATTTGTATCAACGACCTACTATTCCAACAGCTTTCAGTCCCTGATAGATGAGATCACAGGAATCAAGGAAAATTTAGAAATTGGCTTTTAAGTTTCTAGCCTACATTTTAAAATTTGTTATTCAAGGTGGTTAAGGAGTGAGATGTTTGTCAATCTTTGTCTATCCTATGCGCCACTTTGCTTGAATCGACTTTCAAGACTCACCATTGATTTGGTAATGATTGTGGTGTTATACATATCAGTGCTGAATTACATCACACTTGAGTTTAAATTGATGCTTTTGATGTAAAGAACAGTACGGTTCAAAGTTGCTACTCCGAGTTTCAGGCTTAATTCGATCATCCGAAATTGCACGATTAATTCGATCATCAGAGATTACTCGCTTGATGCAATCGTCTGATGTTGCCTGATGGTCACATCAAGCGTGGAACTAGGAGCCCAAACTTAAAATTGTCCTGTTCCAAAAAACAAATAGTGTGATCTAATAATGCAAAAATTTGAAATAGATTTTCATTCATTGGCCACGTTAAAGGCCTATACGATTGCTTCTGATTTGGATGCTTTTACTCATTAAAATTTTTTAACAACATTAAAAACAAATCTTTGAAGAAAGTCTTGAAAGAATGAATAAAAGTAAGATCGAAAGAAAGGAGGGTTTTGAAAAAGACACTTTCAAGGAAACATTAAAAATAAATCTTTGAAGTAAGTCTTGAAAGAATGAATAAAAGTAAGATCGAAAGGAAGAAGGGTTTTAAAAAGACACTTTCAAGGAAACATTAAAAAAAATCGTTGAAGAGAGTCTCGAAAGAATGAATAAAAGTAAGATCGAAAGGAAGAAGGGTTTTAAAAAGACACTTTCAAGGAAACATTAAAAATAAATCTTTGAAGAAACTCTTGAAAGAATGAATAAAAGTAAGATGAAAGAAAGGAGGGTTTAAATATGAAACTTTCAAGGCAACATTAAAAACAAATCTTTGAAGAAAGTCTTGAAAGAATGAATTAAAGTAAGATTGAAAGAAAGGAGGGTTTAAAATTGACACTTTCAAGGAAACATTAAAAACAAATCTTTGAAGTAAGTCTTGAAAGAATAAATAAAAGTAAGATCGAAAGGAAGGAGGGTTTAAAATTGACACTTTCAAGGAAAAATTAAAAAAAACGTTGAAGAAAGTCTTGAAAGAATGAATAAAAGTAAGATCGAAAGAAAGGAGGGTTTAAAATTGACACTTTCAGGGAAACATTAAAAACAAATATTTGAAGTAAGTCTTGAAAGAATAAATAAAAGTAAGATCGAAAGGAAGGAGGGTTTAAATATGACACTTTCAAGGCAACATTAAAACAAATCTTTGTGGAAAGTCTTGAAAGAATGAATAAAAGGAAGATCGAAAGAAAGGAGGGTTTAAATATGAAACTTTCAAGGCAACATTAAAAACAAATCTTTGAAGAAAGTCTTGAAAGAATGAATAAAAGTAAGATCGAAAGAAAGGAGGGTTTAAAATTGACACTTTCAAGGAAACATTAAAAACAAATCTTTGAACAAAGTCTTGAAGGAATGAATAAAAGGAAGATCGAAAGAAAGGACGGTTTAAATATGACACTTTCAAGGCAACATTAAAAACAAATCTTTGAAGAAAGTCTTGAAAGAATGAATAAAAGTAAGATGGAAAGAAAGGAGGGTTTTGAAAAAGACACTTTCAAGGAAACATTAAAAATAAATCTTTGAAGTAAGTCTTGAAAGAATGAATAAAAGTAAGATCGAAAGGAAGAAGGGTTTTAAAAAGACACTTTCAAGGAAACATTAAAAAAAATCGTTGAAGACAGTCTCGAAAGAATGAATAAAAGTAAGATCGAAAGGAAGAAGGGTTTTAAAAAGACACTTTCAAGGAAACATTAAAAATAAATCTTTGAAGAAACTCTTGAAAGAATGAATAAAAGTAAGATCGAAAGAAAGGAGGGTTTAAAATTGACACTTTCAAGGAAACATTAAAAACAAATCATTGAAGAAAGTCTTGAAAGAATGAATAAAAGTAAGATCGAAAGAAAGGAGGGTTTAAAATTGACACTTTCAGGGAAACATTAAAAACAAATATTTGAAGTAAGTCTTGAAAGAATGAATAAAAGTAAGATCGAAAGGAAGAATGGTTTTAAAAAGACACTTTCAAGGAAACATTAAAAAAAATCGAAACATTAAAGGAAACATTAAAAACAAATATTTGAAGTAAGTCTTGAAAGAATGAATAAAAGTAAGATCGAAAGGAAGAATGGTTTTAAAAAGACACTTTCAAGGAAACATTAAAAAAAATCGTTGAAGAAAGTCTTGAAAGAATGAATAAAAGTAAGATCGAAAGAAAGGAGGGTTTAAAATTGACACTTTCAAGGAAACATTAAAAACAAATCTTTGAACAAAGTCTTGAAAGAATGAATAAAAGGAAAATCGAAAGAAAGGAGGGTTTAAATATGACACTTTCAAGGCAACATTAAAAACAAATCTTTGAAGAAAGTCTTGAAAGAATGAATAAAAGTAAGATCGAAAGAAAGGAGGGTTTAAAATTGACACTTTCAGGGAAACATTAAAAACAAATATTTGAAGCAAGTCTTGAAAGAATGAATAAAAGTAAGATCGAAAGGAAGGAGGGTTTTGAAAAAGACACTTTCAAGGAAACATTAAAAATAAATCTTTGAATTAAGTCTTGAAAGAATGAATAAAAGTAAGATCGAAAGGAAGAAGGGTTTTAAAAAGACACTTTCAAGGAAACATTAAAAAAAATCGCTGAAGAAAGTCTCGAAAGAATGAATAAAAGTAAGATCGAAAGGAAGAAGGGTTTTAAAAAGACACTTTCAAGGAAACATTAAAAATAAATCTTTGAAGTAAGTCTTGAAAGAATGAATAAAAGTAAGATCGAAAGAAAGGAGGGTTTAAAATTGACACTTTCAAGGAAACATTCAAAACAAATCTTTGAAGAAAGTCTTGAAAGAATTAATAAAAGTAAGATCGAAAGAAAGGAGGGTTTAAAATTGACACTTTCCGGGAAACATTAAAAACAAATATTTGAAGTAAGTCTTGAAAGAATGAATAAAAGTAAGATCGAAAGAAAGGAGGGTTTAAAATTGACACTTTCAAGGAAACATTAAAAACAAATCTTTGAAGTAAGTCTTGAAGGAATGAATAAAAGTAAGATCGAAAGAAAGGAGGGTTTAAAAAAGAGACTTTCAAGGAAACATAAAAAACAAATATTTGAAGGAAGTCTGATAAGAATGAACTAAGGTAATAATAGAACAAAGTAAACTTTTAATTGGGAAAGTTGAAAAGAAGTCCAAAAAGGAACGTTGGAGGAAGTTTCATAAGCGGGAATCAAAGTTAGATTGGATGAAAGGCAACTTTAGAAAGGGAATGTTCAAGAGAACTATTAAAAGGGGCAGGGACGGAAATTTTTAAAGAATGAAAAAACTGAATGAATAAAGGTAAGAAAAAAGCAAAGGAACTTTAAAAAGGAAACACTGAAGCAAACTTTAGAAAATGAAAGAGCAAAGAATGGCATGTAAGAAAGAATTGAATTTAGAATAAAAGGAAGGAAAATATTGAAAAGAAAACAGTGTAAAAGGGATGAAAGATAAACATTTCAAAGATTTTAGACCAGTTAATCAGTTATCCTTGCAATCCACTGTATTCTAGCTGAAAATACCACAGAAAGTACACAAATTTGTACTGGTCAAAAATGTGTAGACTGGGGCTGGTGCTCTTCTTGGTCAAAAAGGGAGAGGACACTAAGGTTGTAAAGGCCAGCCAACAAAATGTAAGAAAAGTCAAAGGGGTAATGAAACATAATACATTATCAACGTCAAAAGTATTCAACATTAGACTAAAATTAAATGGAAAGAAGGTGGAAATTGATCTAAAATATTTTCAATCACACAAGTAATCAATGCCAGGGAACATATTTTGAGGGGGAGGGGGGGGCTTCATTTTTGCAGAATCAGGGTTCAATAAATTCTTTTTGGGAAAGTTAGCAGAAACAGCAAAAATATCTGAAAACAGTATAAAACAGTATAATATTTTCTGCACTAAGAGAATTGTGCACTTTTTCTACATGATAAACAGTATTTTTCTTAAAACACATTTTTAAAGTAAATAAATAGGACACTTATGCTGCCTTAGTTATACTCCAGATTGGAATTTCTAAATCCCCACACACATCAACTATCAGCAGGGGATGCAGCTGCGAAATTTCTATTAAAATGATTCATCCAGCTGTTTTTCTCTGAAATGTATAGCCAAACTGTATTTTATGGCAATTAGTCCCAGCCCCACAAAATTTTTATCTGTGCTATTTGCAATGCGCAATTTTCATGTACACGAAGCAGGTCCCTGACGCATCTTTCAAAGATTCCAATCTGGGTTATACTTTTGCCTTGTACCTGCTTTCACAAAAAAGTTTAAATTTTTTTTGGAGTGTTTGTGTGCACATGGCAAGAAGCAAGCAGGATAGCTTTATACTTAAAAGTGGACTTACAGGTGCAAATAACAGGGCCGTCAGAGCTGGGAGGGGGCCACAGGGGCACAGGCCCCCCTGATTAGAAAAGGTGTAAAAAGTGCCCTCTTTGAAAAATATGTTGTGCATACTATTTTTTCACAGCAAGGTATTTTGCCTTCTATGATTCTCATTCTCTAACAATCTACTGCAAACAAATTCCTCAGTACATATGGGCCAACCAGCATACTACTACACAGTGTCTTGGTTTTTTTATTTTTTATCTTGCTAACTTTGGAAGAGATAGAGACTGAAACTTTACTTTGAAAAAGATAAAGACTAAATATTCGCTTTGAAAGAGATAGAAACTGAAAATTCGCTATAAAATGATAGATTGAAAATTCAAGAATATCTTTCAGTTCTGTACATTATATTGTCAGTTTAACCTGTAAGTTTTTAGTTCTTTTGCACACATGATTGCATTAATGTGGATTAATTTTTTCTTTGGTATGCTGTAATTCATCTGAATATTTGCGAATATAATGCACCTTTCACAAATATCGGCGAAGGACGTGTGCCTGCTGCTTAACCGGGGCCACCACCTCTCATTTCTTAAGGAAAATATGAATCAAACATTGAGGAAAGATTTACTCAAACAAAAACTTCATCTCCCACGAGGAGTTATAAATTATTCTTCATTATCATTTTGCACCCCCCCCCACTGTTCCAACCTCCGCCCGGCAGCCCTGACTGAGGTCTAGAGAATAGATGCTCATTAAAAGAGAGTTTAAGGTACATGTGCATCTGTCTCACTTTATGATATTGAACTGAATCTGAACTTTAAATAGGATTTTTTCTCACCTTAGCTTCTATTTTAATAGAACATATACTAAGGAGTCAACATGAAATTTTAGACCCTCGCTCCTTAACTGGGGATCTTCTAAAGACTGAGACAGCCTTCTTTCTCAAGTCTCAGTCTTGGCAACCTTTTTCCAAAAGTAGCATGGATCCTTAACGAGTGAAATGCAAATAAACATATTTTCCCCAAATATTTGAGTTTATTCGACAGGGGGTCATTCTATTACACAGGGAAGGAATATTCATATGGAGAATATAATAAAAAACGATAAGATTATTATCTAACCCAAAATATAAACTGAATAGAAAAACTCGATCGTAAATTGACTTGATAAAGAGCTCTTTAATAACATTACAAGAAACTATATAATATAGTTGATCTAATAATGCAAAAATTTGAAATAGATTTTCATTCATTGGCCACGTTAAAGGCCTATACGATTGCTTCTGATTTGGATGCTTTTACTCATTAATAAAGCATTTTAAAACCTTAACTGTACCACAGCAAGGAATCGTAATATTGAATGACAATTACCATAACACTTATATGTGAAAATAGCCGTTTCGATTACCTTTTTCCTTTAGTTGATTAGTGATCTTTCCACGTGGGTGGCAGCCATGTTTATTTTCAATTTGAAAATTAGTCCAAACGAGGCTCTTACAGAACCTCGAGTTCAATTACCTCAAATGGGAAAATTGAATCCCTTTATCCTCTGGCGCAAATCTTCAAATTAGTCCCCCTCCACCCTCTCTGTATTTGCTGGTTTTTTGCTACCACAACCATTAAAGCTATATTTTTCGTCCCTATCGGCATTCTAAATTGTAATATTCGGATTTTTAAAGTTTTTAAGATTTTGGACGTGGAACTTTTTAACATAAATACTAAGCTAACGATGTTTAAAATTTAAAGAATAAAATATAGAGTAAACATTGGGTTGAAAGGCAATGAGCACCTGAACCGAAAAAGACATCGAAAGATGCGAAGGAAGAAGAACATTAAAAATATCAAACAGGTTGAGGACGTGGTGTTCTTTGGCTCTACAAGAAAAATCAGCCACAAGAAAATGCAAAAACAGGACAAAGCGAGGTTGTGCGAAGGAAATTCTTATACTTTGTACTACACTAACCAATAAATGTAAAATTGATTTTGAATAACAGAAGTTAGTGTTTGTTTGCAATAGGCTCTTCAAGTGCTTCGAGAATTTCCTTTCTATAATCATCAAAATCCCCGTCGATCTCTTCCACTGACTGGTCCTCAACAATCGAGAGACGACAGTCTGTTTCTAATATAAGTCGAGCATCATGGCTGACAATAATCACCCCTAAGGGAAAAACAATTCATATATGACTGAGAAAATATTATAATAATTTACAATGAGAAATCACAATTATATATTTATCAGTAAATTGTTGACAGAATTAATTGATAAATTATAATCAAAATATCTTTCATTTCATAAATATCACAACGAGTTTCATCGAGAAATCATCATCATCACAGCAATAGATCATAATTTTGATTTGTATTCATAGTTTTTAAGTTTAAAATCGTGTATGTTGCTGGTAAGCCTGTAGTGATTCAAGTTGAATTAGTCCATCATTGCTTTTATAAATACCTACACAATTCTACATTCATCATACTTTGCTAACAACACTTCATTTTAACCTAATCCATCACACCATTGGGAGCCACAAAGCACATACTTTCCTTTGTATATCGCTTAATAAAGTTTGCTAGTTTTCTATATCAAAAAACACTTTTGTAAATAATAATCAGTTGGCATAAATCACGTTACACACATACCGTAAATCTTCCAATAGCCCCCCCCCTTGAAAAAGCCCCCTTCACTCGAATAAGCCCCCACCCTAGAACTGCAAATTGTCAATAAGCCCCCCCCCCTCGAAAAAGCCCCCACTGCTACAGTATATTCTCGAATTGTATCCCTCAGTTTGATGGTTTTTGCCATCTGCGGTTACCTATGGCGTTTTTTTGAATTACCACGACAAATTCGTACTTTTGGTAGTAATTGATTAAATGCTCATAAAGAAAATCCTACCAAAATAAACGAGGTCTTTTTATAATGTCTTCTTAATGTCTACAATAATTTTATAAGCCCCCCCCCCTCGTATAAGCCTTCCCCCCTCGAATAAGCCCCCATCCAAAAATATAAAAAATAAATAAGCCCCCAGGGCTAATTCGAGGATTTACGGTATCCCGATAAATATCACGTCTATTTTCATTGAGAAATCATCATCATAACCATCGCTGCAATTAATCATAAATTTGATTTTTATTCCAAAATTGTCTTGATTGAAATCGTGTATGTTACTGGTTAACCCAATATCGCCTAGAAAAACGGACGCTCTCTTGCTGTTCTCCAAATTACGTAACAATTTTATATCTTTGAAATTAATCAACAAAATCTCTAGCTTCTTGATTGAAGAAATTTTAGTTTAGTTTATGTGCTAAATATGTTGAATACATCATGGATAATAAATAAAAAACAGATTTAGTTAATCTAGATCTAAAGAGGCGAGAATAAATGAGAATGAGAATGATATGAAATAAATGAGAATAATATTTTTTCAGGTTTAAAAATTTATGTTTTGTACATGTACTCGAAAATAAGATTTCTATCATTACAAAAGGAATGAAAATCACAAAAAACTAAGGCAATTATTTAATGGGTTGAGCCAGAACAATGTAATGTGTTCCTAACGGCGGCTTTCTGTTGCACTAAAGCTGACAAATAGTGTAAAACTAAGACAATTTCAAAAACTATATCTCCATCATTATTGTTCAAAGGTAATGTGTCCAGCTATAGCAAGCGACTCTGCGGGGGTTTTTAGAAACATATGATTTTTCATGTCATCGCCCCAGTCATTACGGTCGTTCTGTTTATTTATCCTGCTGCGAGGTTAGCTTTTCATGTGAGCAGTTTTGCATTGCAAGAATACTAACCAATCGCAAACTGTTATTTTGATGGGTGGCTTGACAAGTTGGGTAAACGCAGTCCTTTTATATGGACACATT